TGTGAAGCTGGGATTTTTATTTGTCAAAGAAGATATGCTCAAGAAGTTCTAGCAAGGTTCAACATGGGAAGTAGCAACTCAGTAAGAAATCCAATTGTTCCAGGAACAAATTTATCAAAAGATGAGGATGACACTGAAGTAGATGCTACAATGTTCAAACAAGTCATTGGAAGTCTCATGTATCTAACGGTAACTCGACCAGATTTGATGTTTGGAGTGAGTTTGATGAGCAGGTTCATGGCGAATCCAAAAGAATCACATTGGGCTGCAACAAAAAGACTCTTAAGATATCTAAAAGGAACCGCGGAGCACGGGATATTCTACAAGAATGAAGGAAGAAAAACAGGTCTTGTAGCTTATTCTGACAGCAATTACGCAGGAGATTTAGATGATCGAAGAAGCACTTCTGGTTTAGTGTTTATGATGGGGTTTGGAGCTGTTTCATGGGCTTAAAAAAACAATCTGTTGTGAGCCTATCCACCACTGAGGCGGAATATATTGCTGCAACACTTTGTGCTTGTCAGTGTATTTGACTTAGAAGAATCTTGGAGCAACTTGGAGATGAAGAAAAGGAAGAAACTGTGATTTTATGTGACAACAGTTCCACTATTCAATTGTCTAAAAATCCAATTTTTCATGGCAGAAGTAAACATATTGCAGTAAGGTTTCATTTTCTCAGAGACTTGGTAAATGATGAAGTGGTGAGACTGAGTTTTTGCTGCTCTGAAGAACAAGTTGCAGATACAATGACGAAGCCATTGAAGCTCGAGCAGTTTGAGAAGCTTCGAAGCATGCTTGGAGTAATAAAGATCACATAATTAAGCTAATCACAGAGGCATTAGCTTAAGGGAGGGAATGTTAGTCAAAGTCTATTTGTTTTTTGATTCAGTCCATGTTTTTACTAATAAATCCTAGTCCTAAAAGAAGTTAGATTCTTTAGGAGGAATTCCTATATTTTAGGAATAGTTTCTATTATTCATATTTTATTGTAATGTACTGCTGACTTTTGACTAATTCTCGTTGTAAAGGCTATATAAGTCTGCTTTCACTTTCTATTTTATTGTAATGTACTGCTGACTTTTGACTAGTTCCCGTTGTAAAGGCTATATAAGTCTGCTTTCACTTTCTAATAAAACAGTAGTTTTCTCACTCTCAGTACTTTTATTATTTTCAGTTCTAACAATAACTCTCCCATGACATTCATCATTAAAATGTCTTCCCATCAACTTCCAATGTTAGAACTCTTTTTTGGTTGATTTTGTCATAGCATTGAACAAATTTCTTGGAGTTATTAGATCTGGTATAATGTCCACTACTGGAAAGTCACTATGAAGCAAAAATGTGAAACCCTATGAAACTTTGACGTTAAAATTGTCTATATTCGAAGGAAATTGCAAATGAGTCTGACTCACAAATTAGTCCATTATACTTTCTGACCCAAATAAAGCATGGATAGAAAAAACTCCTTCGAAAATTGAGTACCACCAAATTGGATATAAGCCTCTTTCATTAATAGAATTTGTATTCTTTATTAAAAACAAATACATCGACCTCAAAAAAAAAGGATGATAAGGTTGGAAAATAATTCACTGAAAAACGTATTCACGTAGTCAACATATTAACATTTATTTGATCTTAATTGATTGTTTAAAAAAGTTGATTTTTATTTTAAAATTAAAAATATTATTTTAAGTCTAAACTATTTGATTTTAATCATACGACCATAAATATTTAACTGCATGACAACAAAAACAAAGTGACGGTAGTGAATTGCAATCCGATAAAGTCATGACTCACGTGTAAGTGAATTTTAAAAATTCAAACTCGTGTCACATATTCTTTTGAAATGAAAATGTAAATTCAAATCATATATTCAATTTGCATGAAAAGTGAGGTGTGGGAAGCATTAAGTTGCTGAGAAGAGTCATAATATATTGTAGTATAGCTTGTAGTATGAGGTTGTTATTTAAAGGTATTGTGTAGCTTGTAGTATCTGTTGGATGTAATTTAAATTCAGTATTTATATTTAGATTTCATTTGTATTTTGTTAGGCTACGGTGATTTATTTAGGAGAGGATGAATAAATCCGTAAATTAAAATTTTTAGAAAAATTTTAATTTTGAAAAATTTATTTATTAAAGAGTTTGAGCGAAAAGATTTCAAAAAGAGTAGTCTATACAAACTGTTATTAGAAACTCGGATATATAAAAGTCATATAAAATTAAGATAATAATAAAATCAATCAACATAATAATGTCTCAATTAATAGTTTAATATCAAACACAATAGTTTCTCATTTCCAATAAAATCATATTAAAAGTATAACTTGACAATTTATCGAACATGTGACGCGCAATCAATTTTTCAGAATTTTCTTTGAGTTTTGTTGATATGAAAAAGTACTTACAATCAAAGTGATTATAAGTTAATCAACAAAGCAATTTAAACTTTAATAATCAAAGAGAAATTATATACGAATCGATCGATCAAACAACACATTCAACAAATTGTATATAGAGAGTAAATGAGACTAAGAGATAGAACATTACAATTTTTCTTTGAGTTACAAGCTAAACAATTTGTCAAAAACTTGGTGTGCAATCAAAGTTTTAGAAAGCACTTATAATCAAAAGTGATTAAAAGCAACTCAACACACAATTCAAAATAAAAACAGTCATGAAAAATTCATATGCGTTGATAGATTAATCAATGCTATTTGACAAATTGATGTATGAAAATTAAAACAAGTAAGGCAATAAAAGAAAAGAGACACAAATTTGTTTACACAGTTCCACATTTTTATCCTCGCATACGTCTGCGCCCAATTCCAATGTGGAATTAGGACACTTTTTTACTTTGTAAAAAGTGTGATTACAAGAGAAGTGTTCAAGAACAACCATACAAACCATAACTGTTTGATGTTGATTCAACTCCTTCTCTTCTTTTGAACCTCAACAAGATCAATCATACAATAGCTATCAATTGATTATTTAGATCTTGCTACTCCTTTGTATTCTTTATCTCCAAAGCTTTCGCGCACCATCAATTGCACCTATTGCAACACAAGACTTCAATTAGATTTTCCGTTCCCTTGCCACTTCCTTTGCATTATTTAACTCCAAAGATTCTTTGTATTCTTTATCTCCAAAGGCTTTCACTATGCCGCAATCCTCTCTTGAATGTCTTGCACGAAAACTCTCAAATGAATAAGTGATATTGAAGGAAAAACCCGCGGTTTTTCCAAAGAAGACCCTTGTAAATCTCAACTCAATATTATGGGCTACACAATAATCTAATTGGACGTTATCAAACCCCGTCTAGATGACACCCCAACAAAAGATCGTTACAATGGAATGTCAGTGTGTATGCATAGGTTGTAGGTTGAAGGTGACGAGCAATTGCAGGAAATTGTTATGGTATCATCAAGTTAGAATAATGAATGAAGGATGTATTTATAGTTATGGAAATATTGGGGCAAAAGAGAGAAAATCATAATTAAAAGGAAATTAGAAAATTTAACCCATGAAACAGTATGAGTCGACCTGTAGTTTGGATGAGTCAGCTCATAGTGGTAATTTTAACAGTATGAGCCGGCCTAAACCAAACATAGGAGAACTCCTTATTTAGGACAGTACATGCGTCGGCCTGAAATGACTATGAGCCAGCATGAAACAAACAAAAGCTATCTGCTTATTTAGAGCAGTACATGTGTCAGCCTGTAATGGTTATGAGCCGACTTGTATATGTATTTTTTTGTGTAGAAAATTATTTCTTTAGACAGAGTCGGTTTTTACTATGTTTCAAATGATTCCTAAGACCTCTAAATGTACAGGGTGCCACTCAAATTCAGAGATACCGCAATATACATAAATACTTTATTCTTGTAGTTTTGACATCATGCGAAACACATATTGAGGAAAGTTGCACTCACATACTCTCCCTTTTTTATGATGGCAAAACTGCGACGATAATGACATTTCATGTGTATTTGACGCTCTCCCTAACTATGTACTTCCCAACTTCATATAGCATATTCTTTTCCCCCTTTGACAACATCAAAAGGAGAACAAGCATATAATTAGAAGTATTGTAGTATTCTATAACAACCAATATATCATACAGAGGCAATTTTTGCATAGAAGAGCAACAATTACATATCTCCGTATATATGTAATGATGTGAAATGTATAAATAACCGACAAAAAACATTACAACAAAAAATAAACAAGCAGTGAATGAGCAAATATGTCAAGTTGATTTTATAGTGTCACGATTACGTAACACAACATAATGGAACTCTCGATGTCACACACACATGTGCATAGTATAGCGACAAGAACATGTCGCTACTAAAACCCAAAATGAAGATTTTTGTCATACTATGTAGCCAACAACAACAAGAAACACATATTACAAGTAACACACATACGATTAACTCGAGCATAGTATGCAAGAAATAAGTAAAGAAAAATAAACAAAGCGCATGCTTGCATAACAAGAACAAACTTATATAAATGTGAACAAATTAATACAAAAAGTCATTATAAGTATATAGATTGAGAACACACAATGATTATCAATAAATAAAAAATGGAAATGAACATTCACGGATTTCATCATTTGATAACATAGCAAGCATTTTGCATCAACTAAAACATGTACTAAGAAAAGTCTTACTTTCAAGGAACAATTTAGAACAAGATTACCTCACTCTTGATGTAATGGAAGTTGAACTCACATGATGTAAAACACTTAAACAAAGTGTTAGAACAAAAGTATAAAAGGGCAAATATCATAATAAAGAAAACAACATTGGAGACCTTAATAATCCCCAATTCCTCATATTTGTGGAAAAACGGATTGGTTGAAAACATCTTGTGAAAACATCGTCAAGTTGATTTTCACTATCAAAATGCTCGAGTTATGATCGAATTTTTTAGTCATTACATTTGAGATTCACAAGTGTTAACCAAATTACAAAAATTACATGTCATAAAAATTCAAAACATTTCTAAATCTAAACTCCAAAGCTTCGTGATAGATGTGTTCTCCTCTTGTCTCTCCCAAGTATTTCTTCCACCATGGCCACAAGTTCTTTGCTTCTTCTACAATCCTCCATATTGCAAGCATCATTATTCACAATACATGAAATGAGAAAATTAAAGGTGTATTAGCATATCAATTCAACAAATAAAGTCCAACAAATTTCAAATGAATTCATTCCAAGTATTTCCCAAAATATTCATCATGTTTCAATTCAAGACAACTTCGCAAAAGCCCATGGTTCACAATATTCAACAAAAAAACTATAAAGTCACAATTGCTCAAATCAAGCCCAAGAATTAATATCAAAGACAAAACTAAATTTGCAAACAAAGTGAAAGATTGGACTTAAAACAAGGATTTTCGGATTGGGCTGCAGCAAGAAAAATCAGAATATTTTATCAGCCCAAATTTGAATCCAAACACAGTTCAAAGTACAGCCCTTTGTTTGTTTATACAAAAAAATCAGTTCTAAGCAGTATAAAGCCATCATTTTTAAATGAACACTGACAAGAAAAAAAGATTCGAACACTAAAAAGTATACAAACTCAGAGCAAATAAAAATCAGAAAACTTACCTCGCCGGAAAATCGAGCTCCCTGTCCGGAAATTTTCTTTCGCCGGAAATCCGACCTCCTCCGATCTCCTTCTGTCCGCCGGAACCTCACCGAAATCACTCCAATTTGACCGTGACACCCCTGTAACCGCCAGAAGACTCCTTGTATCGCTGTTCTTCGCCTTTCCTTAATCAGAAGGTTGGAAATCTTCCATGTGACCGAATCTCTCATTTATTTTCGCCTATGTGACTATTGTTCTTGTTTTTGAACAAAATATTTTTAAAACTCTTTTCTATATCTACATTTTTCTACCACTGTTTTTGAAAAATTAATCTCCGATTATGAACAAGGAGGTTGAACCGAATACAAAAATATAAAAAGAAAATTGAGAACCGGAACTTTCCGCGGCGGCGGCGCCGAGAGACTGGCCGGCCGCTGCCGCGATCGCGCCGTTCTCCACCGTATTTTTATTTTTATTCTTCTTACATTTTCTTGTTGTTTAAAAAAAGCATAACAACATGGTGATGCTGTATTATGAAATGAGAGAGAGAAGGATATTATTTTTTATTTGAAAAAAGGTGAATGAAATAATTGTTGGTGTTGTTCAATGTACACGGGGAAGATGAAAGAAACTTTTGAAAAGTTTAAAAAGAAATGCTATTCTCAACGTGACAGCATTCTTCTATATTTTTTTTTACTTTTCTTTACTCCTCCGTCTCGTGATCTGTGCCAGCGATTTAAGTGATGACAAGTGATCAACAGAGACACTTGTTATCACGCCTGAGAAGATGATAAATTTTGATTCTCTATATGTCAGTCTATTGTATCTGTTGCGCACTACAGATCTGGATCTTCTAATGTAATTACTGCATTGAAGTTGACTAGATCAGATCGCTGAGATTTATTCTGGTTTTATTTTCTTTAATTATAATTTATTTTTTATTTCTAAAATTCATAATAAATTTAATTTTTGTCCGAAAATTCTGTAAAAAATATTCAAAAAATTTATTTATCTCATTTCTGACTTAGTATATTTTTTTTGGAATTTAATTTCTAATTTTTTTTTATTCTTAATTATTTTTCACTTACTTGAGTGATTTTAAATAATTTAAAAATATTTTTCTATTTTCAAAAATTATCAAAATTTTGTAAAAAATATTTGAGATCATTTCTGACTTAGTGTAGTTTTACTGGAATTTAATTTCGATTTTTAATATTTTTAATTATTTTTCACTTATTTGAGTGATTTTAATTAGCTTAAAAATACTTTTCAGTTTTAAAAAAATTATAAAAAATGTTGTAAAAATATTTGAGATCACTTTTGACTTTTATATGGTCTATTTTAATTTTTCTTTGATATTTTGAATATAGTTTGTTATTTTGCCTTTTATTTTCATTTAAAAAACAATTCTAAAATGAATTTTCTCATTCTATTTTGATTGTTAAATGTAATTTTATTTTTGTATATATTCTGGCTGTTCTTAGACTATGTGAATTTTAATCATGAGCTTTATTAATATCGTTGGATATTGGGTGTTGAGTTTAGCTCCACCAAAATGGATGAATGATTTTAATGATAGCTTGATTAAATTATTTGGTTTAAATGTGGAATTTAATTCTTTTTCATCTTCTCTCTTTCTTATTCTTACTTGTGCTATATTTTATTGGAGAATGATCTACATATCATTTCTCTAAATACATGGTACATAGATTGCTATTGACCAGCCTCAAAAGAGGTGCGACTTCTACATAAGTTCACTTACGATTACTTAACATAGTACTAAAATTTTGTCCTGATTCGAGAAATGATCATTCGTGGCCCAAACTTATGTTTGCAATCCCAAGTATGTTTAATTTGAAACTTTTGATTTAATAACCTTGAGGTTCATTGTTAGGAGGCTTTGGTCTTATCAATCCTCTAATGAATCATCATAAAATTTTGGTCTAAGTGAATCCTTTAAACATCGTTGTTCATTTGTTGTTGCCTTGAGAAATTGAAATGAATGATATACTTTACAAAAAGCAAATGAAACTTGTTATTAAGAGGCTTTGATTTTATCAATGTTCTAATGAGTTTTCAAATGCAAGATTCAAGATGGTCATTCAACTAACCTCTAATTTCTAACTCATTAACAATTGATTTTTATTTTTATGCTTTTACTTTATGCCTTTACTTTTACGAACCATTTATTCTAGCATTTTTATTTCATGATATTTTCATCTTTGCTCACTTGAGCTTTCATTTTCTTTTTTGAAGATACCTAATAAACAACTTGAACAATAAAAAACTTTAATGTTACTTGGACTATTTGGTTACTATCCTTGGCATTTTGGAGTATGGACTTCTCGGACTTAGGATTAGAGACCTTGACCTATCTTGAGACCTTGTGACTTCTATTGCTATTTTGTCTGGAGTTCTTGGTGTTTACCCCAAGACATTGGGTTATTTATTTTCTTTGTGTGCAGGTTATTCTGATTATATGCTTTGTCTGTAATTGGGAACTCATTTGTATACAGTCGTTACTTTGCCCAATTTTTATGAAGACTTAGTGCATCAGAAGTTTGATATTCTTAAGAGGTTTATTATCTTTGCTTGTTTGGTTTCAATACAAAGGATGATAATTCTATATTGACTCATTATGTCAAGTGTTAGCTTCTTGTTAGTTAGACGGTTCTTTTCCCTAACTTTTACCTTATGCTTTAAGATAATCCCTTTATCTCCTCCCATCTTCTTTAATTTCAAAAATCTTCTCTCTCATTTTCAAAACTCTTCTGGTTTTCTAAACTTGAACCACTTTCATAATAAACTTGGACTTAAGTCCATGTGTTGTACCCCAAAATTTGTCCTCTCATTTTTCAAGGCCTTTCTCACAAGGATTCTCAAAGTTTAAGCTTGCATAAGTACATTGAGATTTTCCAATACGCATTAAAAGGAAACTGTCAAAAACGGAGAAAACAGATAAAAATAATATTTTGACAAAATTTGGAGAAAAAACAAGTGTTCTTCGATTCAGCTCCTTCGATTGGCCCTCTGACCTCTTTCGATGCAAGTTTGGCTGGCATCCTTCGACTAGGCGTGGGCCTCTGGCACGTTGGTTTGGATTCACAAGGCACAAATCCCCCTGTAGTCTCCTTCGATTCCAAGAAAAAAGGCTCCCTTTTTTAGCATCTTTCGATTTGCACTTTTTTTTGCCTCCTACATGCACCTTTCATTTGGGAATATGGTTCCTTCAGTACAAGCCACTGGCCACACCCTTCGTTTAGGCACATGAATCTTTCAGTACAAGCTACTGCTCACACCTTTCATTTCGGCACATGAATCTTCAGCACAAACTCTTAGTCATGCCTTTCGTTTGGGCATGTGGCTCCCTCTTTACAAGCTTTCGTTTGAACATATTTGTATAAGGTCACAAGGCAGAAATCTCCTGCATACCCTCTTTCGTTTGGCCATATGGCCCCATTTTCAGGAAAATTTAAACAGGCAATATCTCCCTTGGAAAAGTCTTCCTTCAACACACAAATTCTGCAATATATCTTTGTCTCACGCGAAAGAAGTGCCATGGTGGTACATTCAAAGGGCTTGCCAGGCATGTTTGGATGCCCCAATCAAATGACATGCGTTGTTGACTCATCCCAAGAGCCTGCATTTGGACCATTCGAAGGAACCCATGAAGGGCCTGGTCGAAAGGCACTAATTTGGCCCCTTCAAAGGACATCCACATGAGCCATTCAAATGACACTCTAATTTGAAAAAAAAGAAATGGTTGTCGAAGGGTCTGGTCAAAAGGTGTAGAAAGAGGGAAGATTTGACTCAGAAGATCAAGTTGAGCATTAGACCCATAGGCTAGGCTACATGTTTCCTCTTTTCAGGCTTCAAAACTGTGACTCACTATATATTTAGTTGCTTATGCAAGTTGAAATAGGCTTTTACCCATTTGCTGTCCAAGACTACTTGCCCATAATAGTATAATACTACTTTTTAGAAAAAGTTTTTCTTGAGCCTTGCGCCTATTTTACTTCTAAGGAAGCAATCCATCTGAACCATCCATTTTACTATCATGACACAAGTGGATGCTTACTTTCCAGCTGAGCCTTTATTTTATTATTTGTTACTCCCAAACATTTCAATTTTTTCCTCTATAAATAGAGAGTTCATTTGCACATGAAGTAAGAGAGGAGGAAGAGGAGGGGAACATATCTTCAAAATTCTTACACACCATAAAATTCTCAAACACTTAAACACTTTTGCAAATCCAAACCCATAATCCAAGTACTTATCCCTCTCAAATCTGGAAGAAAAAAAATCCTTACATCTTACTATCCTTCGAATCCAGCAAAGAAGGACATTTCACTTGTTTTACTCTTTCGAATCCACTCTCAAACACCCACCCTTGGTCTTTACCTTCGAATCCATAGGCATTCAAGGCAACCACTTCAAAGTCCAGCACAGGCTCCAGCCTCCAGCAAAGTAAGTCATTCTTAACCTTTGACCTTTCGTTTCTAGCATAGCATGTAAATAAGTTTTCTTTTCGTTTCAAACATGTACATACTATTTTCTTCTTTTCATTTCACTCATTTAATGTGTGTCATGGTTAACAACCTTCTTGGTCTTTGCTCTTTGTATATTTAAACATGCTTTAAAGACTAATCTGGCCCTAAGGTAATGTTGGCATGGCCTTAGACCATGTTGCTATTCAAACTCAAACGAAAGAAACAGGAGACAGAAAAGTTAGAAATGAAGCCTATGGCTTCCATACTAACCTTCAGGCTAAACGAAAGAGGCGGCCAAAAAGACACAACATGCTGGCCTCCAGGCCCCAAGCAAAAGACGCAACATGCTGGCCTCCAGGCCCCAATCAAAAGTCATGCCTTCACCCCTTTTCAAGCCAGATCGAAGAGATCCATAAAGTGCAGAATCGAAGGGTTTGCTGCCCTAAATCGAAAGATCCATTTTTCTTGTTTTTATCTTATTTTTGCCTTTATATTTTCATGCAATTCAATATGGTTGTAATAGTGTAGGATTTTATCTTTTTGCACTTTTGATTTTATGTAAAATGTTAGTAATTAAGGTGTATGGTAAGATAAAATCAACAAGTAGACCACCCTGATCAAAAGACAAAAATGCATGCAATCAAACACATTTTGTACACATGCACCTATGGGGTTAACTCCACTTGTTGCCTTATGAAAAATAGTCATGTTATGCATGTGAGATGTCTTAGCAAAAATAA